TTCTTATTTTCTTCTCTCCTTCTCCCTCTTCTTCTTCTTCTTCTTCTGCTCCTCCTTCTCCTTCTTCCTCTTCTTCCTCTTCTTCTTCTTCTTTTTTTACCAACTGTTTTTCACCCATTCTTATCCACCCATTTTGATAAGGAATGTTTCCGAAAATATATAATAAGAATTAAAGTGGCGTGCTATCAAGTGGCCCTTCAAAGCAAAGTCCAATATATTGATGTTATTTTGCTTGTAAGACACTGAATGCCATAGTGAAATGCTTAACACATATTTCATACAAGCACATGTTCTGAGAGTGTCCTAGATAAGAGTTACAAGAAGTGGGCTGATATAAGTAATAGGATCACGTGTTTTTCAATAGTTGAATATAAAGAATTGATTGGACTGTTATCGGTTGACTGGATCTAACACTTGGATCGCAAAAACGTTTTCGGCGAATTTTCATCTCTTAAAAGTGTATAGATAATCTTAACGTATAGAAAAAACTTAACATACCTCTAAAGATTGATTTACGCTTCTAAATTCTGAATTTTGAGAGATTTTTTATGTTGGAAAATCAGGAACCGTGTAGATTAGATCGGACTGGACTTCGTTTTAACTGGATCGTGGATCGAAACATGTTTTTTTTACAGCGAAATCGCAGCTTTTATCCTATAACATTTATTTTAATATTTATAGCTAGTAGTTTTATGCTGAAATTTTGCAAGAAAATCAAGATTTTTTTTACAATTAGAAACATTTTCATAAATAGGAGCCTGGCTCTTTGGTGAATTAACATATTCCGCCTTCAGCCGGCGCCGCATGCGCATTGATTGCGCACTTGCCTGAGTAATCTTTAGTATTCATACTTTATTTTTGTATACCTCTTTGACCTTTTCCCAGGCTTTTTTTGATTTCTCAATCATTCTTTCATCAGTTACATCTAAAAATGTTGCGACCCCGGGTGAGGTGCGCACATGATAACGATTAACCTGCGTCACTAGCAATTGTTCCATAAACGGCATTTAACCCGCCTAAGGGGCGAGGTCAAAACAATCGTCCAAAATAGGATTCCTATTTTATGAATTAAGGTGGTGGGAACCGGTACGTATCCCCTCCCCCCTCATAGACCTGTTCAAATGCTGGGGGTGTGTAGTGGCAATTTCTATACACAAATATGTTTTTTAGCATACACGCAGACAGACAGTACATTATTCATTTCTTTGATTTGGCTTTTTGATTTGGCTTTTAGTTTTGGAGATATTTGGGGACAAAATAAAAAGATTTCACTTCCAGAGGTGGAGGGTACCGGGTAACACCACCCCTCCCCCCTAAATCGGGTACCCCTGAGATGACAATTGTTTTGTCCTGATCCCTAACTTTCTTTCGTCCAGTTCTTGGGTCTATAAATACCCATCATTGTCTTAAGATTTCGACTAAGAGAATAATCTTGAAGCCATATGTTATCATGACATTTTTTACATTAAGCGGAAACTGTAAGTTTTTCGTATTTATAATATAAATTTATTTTTCCAAAAAAATCTCTCTTTTTTTTTTCAATATTTACTTTGATCAGCTTAGGATAAAATAAATAAAATTGATAGGTTTTAACATGCATTGGCATTTCCACAGAGTGGCTCTGCATCCACTGAGTTCCACTTGGAATATAGCTTTAATACATAATGTATAGATAAACAGATTAAGTTTTTACGATTCTCAGTTCATGTTACGAAACAACCGGGTCAAATATTTTAAGCTGTAACGAGTTACCCACTCAAACAGTCCGCACTTCATCTGTGGTCAAGTAGTGTTCATTAGAGCCCTGTCAGAGCAAAACTATATACGTTTTTAGACTTAATACACGAAATATCAATTAAGTAATTGATCAATATGGACAAGTATAAACTCTCTAGGTAAGCACTTCGATCAGTTAGATGATTAAGTAATTATAATAATTTACATGGGCCTTCAGCTTAGTCGGCCAAGATTGCTCCGCGTTTTTCCTGCGTTTTCTAAATTTCTATCGTCTTCTTTTGGGACCTTGCAAATAAATTCAAAAGAAGGTTCTATTATGTTTTTTTTTTTACCAAAATTGATTAGCAACACCTTTGATACATGTATTTGACATCGCTTTAAAATTACTTGCGCTGCGCTCGTACAGAAAAAATATTTTGCGCAACATGAAAATCTCGAAGGATTTTTACTATCAAATTTTCTAGGAAATTGTAAGTTCGTACTTATTGTAATGTATGAAATACGAGAAACTGAGTTAGTTCTGTGTTCTGTATTTCTTAGTTTGAAAATATTTTCGTAATATTCTGTATCTGTGAATTTCTTACGTAATATTGGAACAGCGCTGATTCGCCGAAAGAGGAGGTTTGGTTGTTTTTTCATCGCGCATCGAACACACTGTACAGTAGTACGATAAGTACAATATCTCTGGTAAAGTCCCGGAAGCCCGCATCTAAACGTGTCGTTTCAGATCCGAGCTAAGGACTTCGATCTTGTAGGAATAAGATTGTAAACCCTTGGGTCTGGATAATAAGCAGAAATCACAACGAGGAGCTGATTTTGATCATTGAATCACATGGTCTCTTGGTTGCTTTCGATTTTTTTCTTTTTTTTTTTTTTTCAATGAATTTTTTTTCAACGGTTTCTTAATTACCCATCATCATTTTTAGTCTTTGTTCCCCCCATTGTTTTCCTTTGCGTTTCTAGATGTTATCTTCGTATAGTCGCTTCCTTACTTGGTCTACCGCTTAGCGGAAGAGATCATAGGTCAAGTGGTATTTCCAGTAAACAGTCAACCAAAAGGAAACAGAAAATAAATAGAAACAGACTCAACAGATTGCTTCAGTAATGCTCAAAGATAAAGAAAATCAGACGCGCAAGACAAAACAAAGGAGGGAAAAACATCAAAGACAAACAACAAAAATGCAGAGATGGGCTGGAGGAAGAAGGAGAGACGGAGGGAGGGATGATTGATGGATGAATAGATAAATAAGATAATGGTGGAAGCAAACGAACGAACGAACGAACAAACAAACAATGGAACAACAGCTAGAAAGAAAAGAAAAACCTCTGGCCGAAAAGTGCTTACATCATACGTACTCAAACCGCGCAGAGAAAAGCTAATTTGCCATCGTGTTTTTGCTTCCGCGTACACTACCACCAACTTCGCGCCTAAACTTTTCATCATTTCTAATCCGGACTAGCCAGAGAATTTTTAATCCGGATTAGCAAGAAAGCCTTTATCTCAGCAAATAAAGGTTGTGTTGTTCCGCAGACCAAAAGGACCACCGTCTTTTGGATAATTTTCTTGATGTTGAATGGGGTTTTAGATAAAGTTAGATAGAAGTGCAAGATAAACGGCTTAGTTCCATAGGGAGTATATGTAGGCTGGACTTGTTGCCGAAATAGGTTTCAATAAATAGAAGAAATTATTTTTCATAGTGAACCAGTGGGTATGCGCATAAAGCAGACACTGCTGGACTATTCTAGTAATCATCAATAGAATACAATAGACCATTTTCGAATTCCAAATTACCATGCATGAGTCTCTTGTTTTATTAGTTAAACAAGGAATTCATTGATAGTATCAAATTCATTAACTCCAATGTGCTGCCTTTTAATACTGAAACACTGGAAGGCTTGTTTTAACTTTCAAATGGTTTTTCTTACAAAGAAACACGCAATAGCACGTTTGCATGATGGCTTCATTTGACTCCCTCTACCCAAATGCTTGGCGAATTTTCTTTCCTATTTAAATTTGTATTTCCTCATGAGAATAGTAAGACAGTTGGTGCTAATTAACTGAACAAAAGAAAGTGCGCTAGGGAATCTGGTAGTAGAGGTCAATGACGCCATCGTGCAAACGTCCTATTACATATACTAACTATGCTAATAAAAAATACTTACTCCAWGAAATTTTTGTCATCTAGCTTTATTTATTCAAATCTTTCCTCGTGTTTACTTTTTTCAAACCATTATGAATTGTGGTCAGAATGAAGATTCTTTTGGGGGGATAAAAACGCTGGTCAGTGATTTACTCTTTCGAGTGAATCGTATTTGTTTGTTTTTCCACAGTTTGCTGTTTGGGGAGTATTTGAAGGATTTAACCATGAGTATTCTTCGCATGTTTTCATTTGGAAGCATTTCTGAACCAGAAACAAAGCTGGACCCAGCTTCGATAAAGCTTATAAGAGAATCCTGGAGTGAAGTGGAGAAAGGTGATTTACAGGAAACTGGGTTGGTGGTATTCAGAAGGTTGGTAAACAAAATGAGTCTTCTGTTGAAGTAATTGTAAAGCCATTCAAATTTAAAATAAACTCCTTGAGTATTGGAGAGTCTAGAATTATCAAAACCAGCCGTTTTGATAGCTTTTTAAGCGGCTTCCTGCTGAGTTGRTAAGATATATAAAGAAGGCAGGTGGCTTACAGTAAAAGAATCGGCTGTTCAATTACGAGCTAGTATTAAAGGTGAAAGCTTCTTGATTACAAAATAAAACCACATTAACAAAACAATGATAAAATTTCAAAGAAATATTTCCATTTTTCCACAAGATTCACTACCTGTAGGAAATCACAATCATTTTTCACTCCTCGTGGGCGTGTTTCTGTGCGGATAGGGTAGGGAATCTCGTTTGCAGCAGTCGCATGAAGACCAATATCTTCATCATTATTTTTCTAGCCTGTTAGGTGTCTATACCCAACAGTAATTCTATTCTTGTACGTCCATATTGTCCTGGATGTCCTTCAATAAAAAAGAATCTGCTTTTGAAGAGTTTAATTTTCCGTTCTGCATATGTGTGCAATGTACTCCAATAAGATGTTGAAAGTTGCACTTGTAGAAATGAATTTTTTAAAAACAATTAGTCATATAGTCAGGTATAATTACACTAAAAGAAATAAGTAAATGATTTAGTAATTATTCAAAATTTCGTTTCGTTCGGAAAATTAGGAAATTGTCACCTTTGCTGGTGCGTTGTAATTACAGCTTCGCAAGTGATGTAAAAAATCTTATTATCTCAAGCACTATTAATTGTAAAAAACAACCTTTATGAAACCAGGCGAATTGTTGTCATAATTGAATTATCTCTTGAGCTAAAAACGACAAGAGATTTGTCTAAATTTATTCGTATTTTAATATATTGTGACTGTAAACAGAGTTTGTTTTTATTGTAAAGAATTATTATGAAAATGGAGATTTGTGTGAGTTTGCTCGGGAGAGACGGAGTGAGAATTTTTTATATTCATGGAAAGAARCCAAACTAATCATGTAAAAAAACTTACGTCACAGGCAAATCGGTGGGTAAAACATCAACGAACCAGCAAAACTTTCAACTCGATCTAAGTGTCACAGGCATCCTAGCGACCAAACTTGACTGACTACATGCTTTCCTATCGCATTTTTATCGCAAATTGTGCACGATAACGTTAAAGAAAGGCGTGCTGCCAAGTGCGATTAGGCGCCACTATACAGAGACTCGAGTTAAAATAATTCAAACATTTCGCCAAAAAGGGAACATCCATCTTATCATCAATATCATTCCTTACACAGATTATTTGAGATAGCCCCGTACCTTCGTGATTTGTTTCCCTTCGGTTACAACCCTGACGGCAAGGATCTAAAGGCACACGCCCTTGGCGTCATGAGCACTGTTGGAGTAGCCGTCAGGGGACTGGACGACCTGGAAAGTTTGAAGCCTAAGCTTGTGGAGCTTGGGGCTCTACACAAGGGATTTGAAATCACGGATAAGGAATTCAAGGCAAGTTAAAAAGTGTTTTCAAAAAAAAAAATTTTGTCGACATATTTATTAAATATATATTAAGCTGGTCCCGGTTGCACGAAGAATGGATAGCGCCCTCTGTTGGATAAATACCTTGATCCAGTAGATAAAGTAATGCTGTTATCTAATAAAATCATCCAATTGATATGATTTTTACGAAGCATATCACTATCTACTCTTCTTACAACCAGGCAAAACCCTGTAACATTGTCCTAACAAGAATTTTTCAAAGTTGTGGCGAAAACGAAACTGATGAGAAACGAATGACCATTTGAGTTTCCCGCCGTAATGAAAAATGATCTTCACAGCAAACCAAGTTCCTCTACTCTTCTTCGAAATATTGCGCAAAATGTCTTAAGGTTGCAGTAGCCCTAGAGTAGATTCATATTACTTTGCAACGGCACGGTCACGGTACGAGATTGAAAATACCCGAGAGCCAATCATAGCGCACAAGATCGTTGATCAGCCAATGACAGTTAAGGTCCCGTTCATGGTGCACTTGCAAGTTTCAAAGATATATCAAGGCCTGGGATCTAAGAAAATAGCAAAAGTTTATCATGCGTGCCACAAAGTCTAGCCATGCATGCTACTCACTTAACGCTCTCCTTGAGACCCCACAAAAGTCATTAACTTCTTAATTCTGAGAGGTTTTTCTCCAGGGCTGGGTTGTTCAAAGCTGGATTAGCGCTAATCCAGGAATAACTCTATAGGTCTTAAGAGTTAACCCAGGATTAGCACTAATCGGGCTTTGAACAACCGTACCCTGGCCTACAAGTTCTAAAGGTTTTCCCCTATTTCAACTTTCTTTTTTCTCCATAGCATGTTGGTGAGGCAATTATATGGACCTTGGATAAAGGTCTTGGGGACCAGTTCACGCCTGAAGTCAAGGCTGCTTGGGTAGAAGCCTATGGACTCATAACAACCACGATGAAGGAAGGTCTAAAATAAATATCCAACTACACATACTTTATCAATCGACAAGGGGGGATTGAGGGCCCCTCCATCACCCCAGCCCCCTGCACTCAATTGGCTCATACAAAGCACTTATAATATAGAATTCACAATTCATTTATCAACAATATATTTAATAACTCCATCATAATTAATGCTGTATCATATTAAAAGCAATGATGTTGGGTTACATGTAAAGAGTTACAGTATATGCATTTGAAGATCGTAAAAATATTAATTTTATCTTTTGACTGAAGAGGATTTACATCTATTGGTTTTAAACATTTATTTCATGTATATACTCTTTTTGGTATCTTAATCATGGATGCATGCATGAAAATATTATATATAATAGCAAAGATTAAGGGATTATTATAGGGTTTTCATAACCTCTGGAATCCAGGGCCAGGTTGTACGAAGGATGGATAGTGCTATCCCATGGATAGGTCTTATCCAGTGGATAAATTTATTGAATRACAGCATCCACTTATTCACTGGATGAGGATTTATCCATTGAATAGTACTATCCACCCTTCGTACAACCGGGCCCAGGGTACATTTTCTTAGAGCAAGTGGTATAGTAGTAGTGTTATACTATTTTAACTTCCATTCAAACAATCATGAATGAGATACAATAAGAAAATACAAGTGAAATTTTCAAGGAAAGGTTCTTGCTGGTTTTTATTTAAATATTCTTCTATTTACAAGATGTACATGGAATCTGTAGAAACAGGAACACAATCAACAGTGAAATACCATCGCGATACTTAATGCTTGCTTAATGCCAACCACTTTCACAAAAGCTAGTCACAAGTTGCTTTTTGTCACCAGCCAATCGATATCTGGTTGGCACAAGAATAACAAAAACTTATGTCACATGAAGTATTGCTACATTTGAGTCTGGATATAAAACATAATCAGAAGACTTATACATTCTAATACGGGATTCTGAGCACTGGAAGATCCAGGGGGAGATTGAGTGGCTAGCCACCCCCTCCTGGGAGTTAAGAATTATCAGAATAAAGTGCAATGAACAATCTAGAGGAAACTAGATCAGCCCTTTGAAACAATCCTGGATCTGTCCGCGCTGAGTTTTCCACTAATATGTAATTTAATATCTTTCAAGGTATTTTACTTTGAGTATGGTTCGATTCTATACTTGGTATCTGACTCCGAACTTGAGCATAGTTGTTGTCTACCTCAAAGAGCTTAAGAATGAGCTTCTTTGTTAAAGTGCTACTATGACGAAAATCACTCAAACTTGGATTCAGATGAAACTTTCTAAGAATACTCTTTAAAGGTCCAATAATCACTGTATGAAGTGTTTTCTCGATATTCAGGACGAAAGTATGATATTTTTACGATTAATTTTTTGGAGTCTGTGACGTCATACACTCAACATCAAACATTGCTACATATATTTCTTTGTATATAAATCCTTAATTTATTTTATTCCTATGAAGCCCAATGGGTGGCTAATGTGCTTATTTCACATTACTTGTGACTATAATTTATATTTTGGGGGTGTTTGGGTATTTCTTTCTCCCTTTACTACTGATATTTTGATCATAAACTACAAAGAAATGTATGCAGTGATGTTCGATGTTGAGTGTATGACGTCACAGACTCCAAAACATAATCGTAAAAATATCATGCTTTCGTCCTGAATATCGAGAAAACACTTCATACAGTGATTATTGGACCTTTAAAGAGTATTCTTAGGAAGTTTCAGCTGAATCCAAGTTTGAGCGATTTTCGTCATAGTAGCACTTTAAAGTCAGAACTATATCAACAATGTCAATTATTACCAATAAATAAAGAAATAGTAATCAAGGAAACACGGCATCCAAAATCACAGTGTAAAAGAAATGAACTATAGGTGTCAGGGGCGGATTTAGGGGAGGGCTGAAGGGGCCACGGGCCCCCTTTTGCTGAATAAAARAGGGACAAAAAGCGGAAAGCAAAAAGAAAGTATAGAAAAAAATCCTAGTCAAAATCCCTCAAAATGCTAGAAAACGCATTTCTCAGGATCTAAATTTCAAAATTGACCYCCCTAGTTGCTCCCGCCTCTGGCAGCCGATGGATACAGGACTGAACGGCCCCCACTTTCTGAAATAACTGGATCCGCCCCTTGGTGTGGACTTGTGCAATGATGATATTTCTTATTCATTAGGTAAGTAGGGTAGAATGAATTAAAAATTTACAGTACAGTTATATCAAAACATAATCATTGTAGGTTATTTTTACATATATGAAATCTTATCCTGCAAGAAAACAAAGAAAAACAGTTAGCAGTTAGCTAAGTGGGTCTACAGTGTGATTCTTAGTGACCTCACATCACCCACTGGTACTCTGTAATCTGTGTGTAATGTTGCTTTTAAAAATAACCACCTCAGACACACATTAGGGGTTTATTTGGATAACAAATAAAAGTATAGTYTGGATCCTTGATATATGAGATGGTAAAGGAATATGTGCTGACCATAGAGGGTGGAGGAGTCCAGAAAGTAAATTTTAACCTTCCCACTGCTTAGTAATCTCTTGTGGGGTATGGGAGGTATCATATAGGAGTAGAATTTGACTTGTGGGTTTTTCTCCAGTTTCTCACTTTATTATATCCCATTTTACTTCCCATTTACCACTTTCATTCCCTTCAAAAATCCCAACATATTAATTCCAATTTAATATGAACCATGATAAGAGTTCAATCAACCAGATGTTGTTTTGGGTTTTACTACATAGTTTACCTTAGAATATTTCACAAACTTGTGTTTGTCTGGTCTACTTTTGTAGGATAAACTGTTCAATAAACTCATTCTGTTCGCTTTCTACTTTTTGGAGTGATTCATGTTGTAGCCTAAACCTGTAAACAACGAAACATTTGAATCATGCAGTTATTTTAATTTTGGACGAAAATAAAAAAATTGAACATCAATTTGTAAATTTGCGAAGTATCTACTACTAACTATATTTGGACTAAAATGATTTTAAAGTGACTTGGCCATTAAAACAAAGTCGTATGATTCGTTACTTACAGTGAAAGTAAAACAAAAGGAAACAATGTAAAATAAGTATCTTCTACAATGTATTATGTTTAACCTCTCATGAACTGAGTAAAATCAGTCAGCTTGTACTGTACTCTCTGCTACCTACCATACTGGTATTTCACAGGGTGATAAAGTAACTCTACACTGACATCTGATATTATTATTAAGTTCATATGATCCGATTAAAAGAAACGTGTGAAAGTATTAGCCAACAGGAAGGGGTGCAGCATTAAAAAAGCAGCAATAGAACTCAGTTCTACAACTGAAAAAAAAAAACGCCAGAAATTCAACAAAAAAATAATGGATAAAATTTCTTTGCATAAGATTTCCCCCACTTCATTACGACCATTACTACGAGAAAAAGAAAATAATAAGGTAAAATAAAAATAAATTCAAGCACACCTTTCAAGTTGTGTCCTTTTTTCGGCTATTAAAGCCCTCAGCTGTTGTTGTTGAGATTCTCTTTGTTTAGCAATGGATTTTAACAAGTTTCTAGAGCCGATCGCCTGTGTAATAAAAAAGCTAAGTTTATATTATGTTATGCAAGATGAATGTAACCAGGGAGACTGATGACAAAAACAAAACCAACCTTCATCTTTTCTTTCTCGACCTCCTTGGCTAAAGAATCGACCGTATCGATAAATCCACCAACGATCTTTTGAAAATCATTTATTTCTGTTAAAATATTAACGACAAAGACACGTTAGAGATTATTTTTCGACAGATGTAAACAAATGTTAACGTATTGTATCAGCGAATGAGTCGAAGATCCTATCCAAATGGAAACTCAAATTTTCACTTTCATCTAAAATGTAATACACAGAGTACTCACTGTCGACAAACTCTTTGCACTCCTCTTTGAGTTTCATCGTTTCTTGGCTTACTTCAGGCTCTAAGACCCGTACTTTATTCAATTCATCGAAGTAAAAACCTTCCGTGCCGTCCGCCATTTTGAATCTCTCTCTATTGCCCAGAATGCTTTTCAGCTGTATAGACTTTTTTAAGGTATCTAGTTGGGACAGTTTGCGTTGCTCGGCAACGATCGCAATTACAAACATGATGTAGGTAGTGTTTAATGGAAAAAATACAGCTGCTGGGCATCTTTCTTGTAGAATCCTAGCTTGGTTGGCTTTTCCAGGGAGTAGGGAGAGCAGCAGTGCTAGCTGCCTAAAAATATAACTCCCTCATTCCCTCTCCAGTCCTCCCACCTAATCAGGATTTTCCTCCCTAAGCCCCCAGACTTTCCAAATCCAGAGCCTTGTGTATATATACCCCGGGGGGGGTACTCCCATATATGGACTATACAGGGATGATCTGCTGAACAGGGTATGGTTTCTCGAGGGTATTTCACTCAAGTCCCAAGTTTTTCCTGAGTTTCCTGTCATATTCATGGATTCTACTTTCGTATTGAACAAAACTGGTTATCATGGTCGTAAAACAACAATACATGATAATTGAAACAGGAACTCGTGCAATTAATTATATCTTTTGTCATTAACAGGGTCTACAAATTCCTTTTTTTTTTGTCATAAACAGGGTATCCCTTTCAKAATCCCAGCAGAACACCTCTACCCAAATTCTGGCAGAGTACCCCCCCTCCCCCCAGGATACATACATACACACGTCATTCCCATTTTTTTTTTAAATGGAGTGTGGTATAGGAATACTATTTTTATATGCTATGGTAGGTTAGGAACAAGACATCAAGCACATTTAGATAACTTATTCTTCTAGAAATAATAAAACTACTTTTTTGTAAATTATATCTCTGGTTCAAAGTATTTATATATAATTTATCTACATCTTGTTACGAGTTTATATTCAACCAGTCTTAAAGGGTTTCTCACAAATTCACATACTTCTATGAACAGGCTTCTTGTTGCCAAACAAATTTTTACACATTTCATTTGGTAAGACCAGCCAGCTTTGCATCAAAATGTGTCAGTTTAATGTACCAGAGCCCGTGCATAAAAGTATGTAAATGTGGTCATACTTTTGTATTTATTATAGTTATTTTTTCTCATTAAGCAGTAGCTGTTCACTGTTGTTTATAAATTAATTAATAATTCATGAGCTTGGAGATTACAAATAAATGACTCTTAGCTCTGAATGTGAAAATTTAAGCTTATAAGCTGAATATAGAAAGTATACCAATTATAAGACAGGATTTGTCCATATTTAATTTCTGAGTTTAGTGGGTAAAGTTCAATTCATGACCAACAACCATTAGAAAAATGTACAAATACTTTGAGGACCAACAGAACTTCATTATGGTATGACGTAAAGATATTCATAAAGATCGTTATCCATCTCCTCCAGCTCGGTGTCTTCTCATTGGCTCTTCCTCTGAGTCATGAATGACACGAGCACCCACAGCACCTCTTGTGGCATGAAGCAATTCCGCATCTGGTACATTTGACCCACTTCCTCTGTTTTCATAAAGAAGCGCATTGAGAGTCTCTTCATAAATTCTTGCCTCTGGAAATTCAACTTTGGTTTGCTTTTTTTCTGTTGCATAAACAATAGACGTACAGCACACTTCTGCTGTTTTCTTTCCATTGCCGTAATAAGTCCAGCAACAAATTTCATTGTTTCCAATTAAGTCTTTTATAAAAAGAATGCGGCCATTGAACCGAAGGGAAAGCTTATCAAACAGTTCAATATTCTTTAGAAGATTGTCATCTGATTGCCTGTCAAGTATGGAATGTTATATTCATTAGATAACTAATTTATGCTAATATATAACTAAAAAATGAAAAATATGCAAGTGGTTCTGGTATTGGTAGTATCTGATGCTGGACTTAGTATCTCAGTATCAGATTTTGTTAGGACTCTTCCTAGATTTGAGGGTCTTTCCTTGGGTTCTCCACTATTTCTCCCTCCACAAAACCTAACATTCAATATATCAAATATGTGAATAAGTTGTGCCCTTTGGTCAGCCCCAAGGCTTTTTCAGGGTATTGATAAAATTAGAAAAAAATAAAAAGGGTGCTAGTAAAAATTTCTGAACTTACCCTGTGTAAGAATACTTGTTGTTTGATCTGTTATATGACAGCTTGACAATTGGCTAAGATGGAAAAAAAAACCTTTGAGCATATGAAGCAAGCTTTCTACAATTGGGTTATACACTTGTAGCATATAACCATAATACTCATTCACTAAGGACAGGYATTTGACATGACATAAGTAGTACATGGGTTCATGGCACTTCAAGGCTAGGGTACATGTTTACCACATACATAAATGTTACAGTTCAAGTAGTAACCCTCCCTGTTGCCATGGCAATAATGAAAGTTACTGTAGCTATTCTTACGTACCAGTTTACTTACTTTGTTTGCAGTACTGACAAGCAATCTTTCTTCTTTCGTTGATGTTATGAGAGGCACCCTACAAATAGGGTCGTGTTGCTGTTTCTTCTTAGCCAATAAGGCTTCACACTGTGACACTAGCTGATCTATTAGGTAGTACTTTGCCTCGGCATAAATCTCTCTCAGCTCCACCTCATTTTGTGGTAAAGGAACTGAGCCATCTCGAAGGAAATTTAAGATCATACCAAAATGCTTCCCACAACGATCAATGAGAATCCAACCTATTAATTACAGAGTTTTGTAAACAATTAAATCAAATATGTACAAAAAGGGGCTGTCAGAAGTAAATTACTTTATCAGGGTTTCTGGGATGGAATAAGATTTACTCAATAGCAATTTTCAGAGATATTTTCATGAAGTGCATCATGGAGAGGTTGTGTGCAAAAATATGTGTATGACGACCAAGTTTTTTCATCAAAGCTTTGTTTATGAAATGATGTATTGTTTAGTTATCTGTAAAGTACCAAACTTCTCAAGAGTGCTTTTATATTTCATGGTGCCAAACTTATTTTTGCAAGTGGCCTGCACTTGGTCATAACATCTTGGTCCAAATGGGCAATTTGTATCTTTGGGTCTTATTCATTTATTTCCACTTCCCATTCTTAAAATAACGTTCCAGAAAAAAGGAAATCCTCTTGTGTATTTGTTCTCTGGCAAGACATTATGCCTGAATAATGGGTATAAAAGCAACAGTCAGTAGCGATTGAATCAAAGCATCCTCTACTTGCACTTCAGAAATTCCCTAGCGTTATATTTGCTTTCTAGCTTATACCAAGTGATGAGTCAAAATCATTCAATTATAATCATTATGAATGATGATGACACTTCCAATTATTATGAAATTTTCGTATAAAACAATTTGACAACACAATTTCGTGTCGTGTTTGACAGATATGACAAGCAGCTTTCAAGAAAAAATATTTGAACACTTCGCATATTTCAACTCCGCATTCAAAAMAAAATTGCAAAATCATCTTTTTCAATCAAGTAGTTGTATTATCTACCGTCTGTATCCGTTAATACTTCCATCCTTCCACTAAACATGGCCCGTAGCATGTTATCATGTTTGGTTAGTGTCCCAAGAGTTGTGTAGTGTAACGAACCACCCACATTCAACTTCACGTATTTTGTCGGCGATCCACGAATCGTAGTCGAATGAGAAGCTTCCCCAGACATTCTTCCCTTCTTTGAGGAGTCAGTAGAGTGTCTTGGGAAGGCGGGTAAGAGGGATCGGTGTGATTTATTTGTTCATAAATCCAGTCTTTTATAACTAAGCTCCAAAAATAAACATTCCCTGTGATACAGGAATTCCCAGAATTCCAATCAAGGACACCGCTGGCCGAAAAAACCCGACGCAGCTAGTTGATTTGTCGCGAGGGAGGGGAGATACAGCAAAAAATGAACTTTTCTTCGGCAAGCTCCTTTTCACACTTTGCAGACGAAAAACTCTTTTTTCTGGTCACTATAATTGTCTTCTCAATATTATGAAATGATATTAGAGTTCTAAATCAAAAAATATATTCCGTGACTGGATAGTTTTTGCACGCAGCGTGTACGTGCATTGAAGGCTCATGATCACACATATGTTTATAAACAAGTTCAAAATTCGATCCTCTTTTGCTTCTTAATATAAACAACGGATATTACATGGTGGTGATATAAGGATTAAATACGAGTCTATTATCTGTTTAAGAAAAATATTTTTCTCATTGATATTTTTTGCTGATGTTTCAGATATTTTTTGCCTGTCTTGTTGTTTTAACAAGTTTAACCGGAAATTCGTCACACGTGAAACCCAAAGCACGTGGACATCATGCAGGAATCATTGAAATCCTGGATTCTGATTGGTGTAAGAACCTGTAGCTTAGATTCATGTTGCTTTGTAACGAAAATATCCAAATACACCGTCCTGTGCCGCCTGTGACATCTCTTTCTCTGGAAAAAAGCCACTTTCTTTCAGATTTTGGGACTATTCTTCTGGATTACCAAGATGTAGATCAAATGGTGGAAATATAATCAAAAATATAGCGGAATCTTACTGAAATGGTTCAAAAATCATGGCTTCAATGGGGATAAATGCAAGGACTAAATAATCGAATCCAAAGGCCAAGGTCGAGAAAATATCTGAAAATATCTGAAAATATCGTAAAAAATCCATCTTGGAGATCGAGAAAAAGAAGGTTTCTTAGGATACTGTAGATTTATTCTATTTTGTCCATAAAGATGAGTTGTGTTTTAGCACAAAGAGGATTCAGTCGTTTGCCAGGGCTTGCATCGAGTAGGCTGCCTCAACTACAATGTGGGCTTTCTAGTATGTCGATGTATGGTTCTCAAACAAAACCTTGGTCTTATGTTAAGCAACAAACTCTAGACGAATATGCTTCCAAGGTAAGTAATAAGAATGCTACTCATAGCTCAAAGATAGCTGGAGATTTATTCAGTCCCTTTGGGAATTGTTATTTTCGTACAAAAAATTGTTCAACACACTCAACAGCAACATGAGGTACACCTTGGGCAAAGAGCGTAAGCTTGACTCATATTTTCCCCTCTGTGTCTTTATGTTTCAGTCGTCTGTTCGTCTTACTCCTTATCAGATGCTCTTTGCTGGAAAGTCCAAAGATGGGAGTCATCTTATTGTAAGTTATCATGATGAATATTTACACTACCGTGACCAGAACAAGTACAAACATAATTGTACATCTTAATATTGTCATGACTCTAGCAGCCCAGAGGGCAAGTTTTCTTTTCAATCCCGACTTCAGGGGAAAACCAATCTTCCATTTCGCAGTCCATTTGGATTTCTCTTGATTATAGAACAGTTTTTAAATTTCTCTTGAAGTCAAATTTCTCTACACACCTAAGCTATATTTTTTTTCTGCACTAGACTTAGCCTTTTTAAGCTTACTTGTAATTTTATTTTCCAATTTTTGTTTATGATGATGAGCTTATTATTTATGTTATTCTCTAGGCAATGAATAATTTGTTTAATATGAGTAGCAACATCTGTTTATTAGGAAATCTTTGCATATATTATTTATTGCATTTCATTTTGTCATTCAATATTGTTTTTACTTACAACTTATAAATTATTATCTCAATTGCTAATATTGTTATAAAAAATGTTGCTTTTTCCTCTTTTCGTTTTGTTTTGTTTTGTTCTGCTATTATTTTTTACATTTGGGACATGCAATAAATAATAGCCAGAAAAAATGTAGAAAATATAATTGCCACTGAAAAAACATTGCCCTTTTTCTCACATGGCAGCCATTTTTGCGGGAACAATAAATTTTTTCATGGTATAGCCCTAGATTCAAGCACTTGTTGGGTTTAGGCAGTCATAAGAAAGTTTTTTATGTCCTCTGGGGATTAACATTGTGAATAAGATCCATAAAGCAATATGATATGAAGGTCTATCTTTAATTCTTGTTAATTTTTCATTTCACCCCCAGAAAAGTGCTCTGTATCTACAGAAGGAGTTACCAATAAGGATTGCACGACGTGTGGTAGAATTTCAGCAGCTTCCATACATTGTGCTTTCAAACCCAGTCATACATGATGTGGTACGTTCGAGACAATGACTTTCATAGCATTATGTAGTCTGTACAACCACAAAATGTCAATGAATTCATTGCTACATGCCCACCACAAATAGATGTCAAGACTTTTACACTGGCAATAGTCACAATTAGCTTCTTTGATATCTGGAAACTAGGTAAAAAATACAAAATCCCAGATGGGCACATCAGTAATGAAATCAGCAGTTACGGCACATGAATTACCATAACTTTGGTTAATTTAACTCAATCTTTTTTCTATGTTCAACTGAAATATTTTGCCAATTAATTCCTTTAATTTTCTTGCTACTTATATTATAGTATCAACTGTACCTTAGAGCCTTTAACATGGTTACCAAATTCCCAAAGGTAAGGTTTAACCATGTTTATTCATTGCCTAATATGAGTTTGATGTATTTTTAGTTCTTTATGATATATAGATAAATAGCTGTTTCGCTTGTGAATCGCCAGGGTTTACATGTTGTCAGAGAGCAAGCCTTGCACTAGCTAACAGCTCACATGAACCTACCCACCTTAAAGCAAACAGTTGTATCAAAATGAGCCCCAGATTAAATGAAAAGAGAACCTCAGTATTATTAATAAGGCAAAGTTTTAACTCAATAGTGTTGACTCTAGAAAAAAATAGTAACATGAAATATTTGAGAGTAAATGGTTTGAAGCCAGGTGTTGAAATTTGTCGTGAAGTGTGATCATCTGGGTGAGTGTGGTCTTGAGAAAGACTGTTGTTGGTGGTGACTGACGTTTCGACAACCTGAGCAGAAGTCATCTTCAGAGTCCAGTGAGAAAACTAGTAAAATATTTGAGTAAAATATACGGTGGCTGTCATGTTCAACACTCAGTCTGAGCACCTAAAGTACCGGTAAATCAACTTATTTTACCATAATTTGTTATTTATTATAGTATTTTACCATTTCATAGGTAGAGAAGCTAGAAACAGAGGACCGTTATAGTCAGATGGTCACAGGATTACTAGTTGACCATCAAAATGTTGTTACAAATCTGGCAGAAGGCTTTCAAGAGTGTAAAAAACATATCTCAGTAAGTATTTTTGAAAATATGATGATAAGAATCTTTGCTTAGCGCCTTAGTTGTAAGCCGCTGGCTTGAAAACTGAGAATTATTCCCTGAATGATTAACGTTAAATACTCATTACATTTACTAATAAACTTACATGTGTTGCTATATATTTGTATTGTCAGTTCAGGGACAATTCTAAGCAACAAGTGTTAAAATATTTTAGTCTTGACTGATAAAATCTTTTTTATACAGTTTGATGACATGGGGAACTTTCTCGATCACACTCTTATGTCACGCCTTGGAATTAGAATGTTAGCCGAGCACCATCTAGGTCTGAGAAATGAACGGGTAAGTGAAACAAGCATATATATATGTATATAAAAAGATAATAAAATAAATAAATAAAAGGATAATAATAATAATAATAATGATAATTTTAAAAAATATAAAAATAATGTAAAGTAAAAAGAAAAGAAAAAAAGAAAAGTCGTGTAAATAGTTATGTGGAGGTGGACGGCATTAATGTATGACTTTCTACTGACATTAATAAAGCTCCTTTTATACTCCAACGAAAGACTTATGTCTGAGACGTCAGTTCTAACTGTACAAACGTATATCTCATTTATTGCATGGTGTTCAACTTCCTTATATTAAATCCATTGAAAATTGATAATTTTCTTGATGTGATCATCTTTGTTTTCCCCAGCCCAATCATATTGGTATTATATGTACTCATCTGAATTTAAAACAAGTTATTGAAAGATCTGCTGACTTTTCAAGGTAAGGAGAAAGTGATTTGGTGCAAATCAATATTTATAATACAATGTCCAATATTTTAGTGTCCCCTTGTATAAATAGTGTGAGTAATAGTCTTAACGGACCATTCATTTTTTATGTCAAAAAGGGGGGCTGCCATATTATTTACAAGAAAGGGGGGGGAAGGCTAGTCAAAATATACGATGACAGAAGGGGGTCACTTGAATATTATATTATGTAACTTATATATGTGCTTGTTGGGGGGGGGGGGGGGGGGGGGGATGGGGACTACTGTGGATAGGAAGAAATTAGTTTTGATTTTTGTTAGCCCCCCTAAGTTCTAAATGCTGTTATTTACAGACAAGTATGTGAGCATATTTATGGTATTGCTCCTGGTGTAATAATCAATGGACATACCAAGGCTGTTTTTCCATTCATTCTTGCTCCGCTGGAATATATTCTGCAGGAACTCATCAAAAATGCTATGCGGTATGTACAATAGTTTGAATGAGTCAAAAATGTTAGAGGTATCTTATTAAGGTATCTTATTAAGGTATCTTATTAAGGTATCTAAAAAGGAATTAATGTAATAGGCCTTTTGTGAGGTTGGTAGATAGTGTGCAGAGCTTAAAATAACGGCCGATCAATCACTGGTCATGATAACAGGACAAATAAATTTTAGCTTAGTCATACCTGGCAAATGTTGCTGATCAAAATGACAGGCAAGGCAAAGATTTGACCAGACAAGTCCCAGTTCTGGACAGACATTGTCCGATGTCCGGCCGTTATTTGAAGCCCTGGGGTGTATTGTAGTCTAGCTTGGGTACAAACAACATGGTCATATAAGGCATGATTAGTAAAAATTGTTCAAGTACCCAAGCTAGACCACAATGCACCATGTTGCTATCTAAGAACAGGGTCAGAAAAGGCGGTTAACTAACATGTGCAGATTGGTATTTGTTCAATAACCACAGAACACCCTTGAAAGTGTGGCACTTAGATTAAGAAATATAATTGCCAAGTATGTATAAGACTAAAATTGGGTGGCTGAGACTTTAGTGGATATTGTGTAGTTCTAGAAATTATCCATACCCCCCTCTACATCTACCCCCCCCCCACCACCCAGGAGGAATTTGGAATTTTCGTGGGGTAGGGGGGTTAGAGAAAGAAGAAAATTATAGAGTTTGTATGGAAGAATATTGGAATTTGTGAGGGTAGGAGGACTTTAAAGAAAGTCCTTGTGCTGAGGTATGGATTACAGTAAAATACATATATGATATAAATGTTATAGTATATGTGTGTATGAATAGTTGCCCAAAAAAGGCCAAGGTCGACAAGGTCCTTGTTCACCAATGGAATACGAGACCCACTATAGCTGTTTCCCAAAAATCTCCCTCCCTGGAGTTTCCGATGTTAGGTTACTAATGCTTGTGTTGTTGCTGACATCTTCCAGGGCTAGTGTAGAGTATCATTATGATAAGCCACTGGAAATACCTAACCTAGTCATAACAATTTGCACCAATGAAACTGATTTTTATGTTAGGTAAGCTTGCATCTTGACTTTGTTTTATTTTATCTTATTTTTATTTTTTCCGTGTAGAAAAAGCTTAGATCAATGAGCTCAAAATATCCCATATTGTGGGATTTTAACTTGATCAAGTTTTCACTAGGATTCTTTCTGGTCTGACAGCTAACACATGGTGTTCAGGGTTTCGCCAAAACTTGGGCAGATAATGATATTCAAAAACTTTTACCCGCTGATTGAAACTAGCAATCGTATTCTACCTCTCTTATTCCAACCTTAATCGACATATTTTCCCCAGGATATCTGATCGTGGTGGTGGAATTCCAGAAGCAAAGGTCAAAAACATCTTCAAGTATTCATTCACCACCATGGGTGATCGCAGTGAGTTCAAGCCTTCAGACAATCAAGGGATCTTCGGTGACATATGCCAGGGACATCCCAACAACTCCCCTAGTGGAGGACCTATCGCAGGATGGGGATTCGGCTTGCCTACCTCGCGCGCGTATGCCAAGTACCTCGGGGGGTCGCTAGAGCTGCAGACAATGGAAGGTTTGGGTACTGATGTCTATTTGCGGCTCAGGCATATAACCGAGAGTAAAGAGAGTTTTCGTATATAATACTAGACTTTGTATACTCTGCGTTAGACAGGCTGATTTCTGAAAGAACTGGTTGGGTTAAACACAGCCGTTTTTACTATTCGACAACCTGAAAAAAAACATCAGCCAGGATGACAGCGCTGCAGTGGGCAGTGGCGTAAGGAGTGTGCATGTTATAGTCTGATTTTATGAATGGGGATTCCTAAGGAAAATATCAGCAAGTGCACGGTTACGCGACGGAAATGGCGGCTCTTGCTTTGCGCGATCATGTAACGGCAGCAAAAATTTGCTATTTGCTTGGTCGTTCGTGTTGTTCTTGTCACAGACGCAAGAGTTGCAGTAAATTCAAATGTTTAAGACCTAAAAAGGAATTTTTTAATTGTTACTCGATGACACCGCTCAGTGTAGGCAATATTACCTTGTCGCCATCTTCAAAGACTTGGGCAACTTTGAAATGGGTCACTCTTTGGGGTAGGAATTTGACGTTTGTTTTCCGCAGTTTGTCAWGGGTCTGCGCACCCTTCCAACCCCGGGGATTAGCGTTGATGAGGCTACGACGTCACAGGAAGGGAGATTCAGCTATCCCTTATGATTCCTGTAATTTCGAGCCCAGCTTTATCTTAGTTTCCCTATTGTCATCCCAAAATTCTTATTCTTGATTGCGTAGAATCCATATAATTTTTTGCGCATTATTTTTCATCACAAAGAAATGTTTACCGTCAATGGCAGGGGCTTATCTTAAGATGCGATAGATTATAATATATAGAGAACATAAAGATTACTAGTCTACATGTAAAGATGTATATAATGGGTTATATGGTGCATGGGGTTGATTTACATGTAAACATCGTTATGAATCGCAAAGGAGTTTTTAAAATCAAAGGTTTAAAATTGCTGTGGCCTTTTGTCCTGTTGTTTTAGTCTTGCAGCCAAAAGATACGGTTTCTCCTGGGATTTGAGGGTGCGCCCACCCCCCGGGGGGGGGGTACTACCACCCCAACTGGGGTAGGGGTGTGCCGCCAGGACCTCAAAACCCTGACCCTATCCCAGACCTAAAATTCTGATTTTACATACCCTACCCTATACTAAAACTAAGAATTATACACCCTATCCCAGACTAAAAGACGGAAAATACGGTTTTACAATAGATTGCAATCAATATTTAGTAAGATTTTTATTGTTTTTGTGTCGGCAGAAAGCGTGGCCTATTCGCCAGACAAAAACGACCAAAACGTTAACCCTATCTTAGACTAAAATGATACCCTATCCCAGACAAAATGTCAAAAAATGATACCCTACCCCAGACCCAAAACCCGAAAAACCATACCTTATAGGGCGGCACATACCCGTATAGCAAATATAGGGGAGTACCCCCCCGGGCGCCCACCCTTTACTGCCCTCGTACATCGCTCCTGCGTTTTGTCAATATTTTAAAAAGGTGCGCGCTAACACGTGAGATACACTGGAACATTTCGAAGAGTAGACTTATGCGTTTGAATTAATGATCATTGCGATACATTGGATTTGCTGGTCATAGCAAGTGGTTAATCATCTACGGTCAAGGGGCCGACTAACCTCTCCCTTAGGCTTCAGCCGAGCTTCCTGATCAGGCTGTAATTCCTCCCGCGATAGCAGTGTCGGGGTCAAAATCTTGGGAGTAACCGTCAGATCTTTCGTCTAAATGTTCTTAAGTGAAATTACGTGACAAAATCCATTTATCACTTGAAAACTGAACAGGAATGAAAACTTTTATAAAAAAGAAAGCGGAAATACACGGATCAATCGCAGAACCACAAATATTATTAAAACAAACAAAAATCTGTCTTGTTAATGAGTACGGCTGTCAGCGGGTGATATGACAGTTTAAAATTAACTCACTCTTATTAAAATACATTAATTTTATGAAATCTTTAAAAAAAAATTTTTATCCCATGCCTAGTAGGTTCCATGATGTTGTTTATCAAAGATAAATGATTAGAGTTTGCTCATAGTTTTACTCCTTTTCCGGCCTGTCATTCTTTTTGTTTGAACTTGCGTCAAGAAAGCATAAAGTATTCACTGAAGCATGATCAATTTCTCATTCAAGTATATCTGTTCGTCAAAGTCCTATGCACATCACCATGCAAGTTCTACTGGTATTCTATGAATATTCAGCCCTCTAAACAGCTTATCGGTAACACAATAAGTGTCTTTCCAAAAYCACACATTTATTTTTAGTGAATGCAATAGAGAACGCCGGAAGAAAAGGTATTAAACCATCAACTTCTGGACGGAAATCGAGTGAAATGGCGAGTGTTGTCTATCGTGAACCGAACTACAAGAAGCCAGTCAAATCGATGGAGAGAACGTCAACTTCGACATTTGAAAGCATGTTGAAGCTTCTACTGTTCTTAGAAACCGAGCTACAGTTAAAAGAGGAACTTTTAGAACTGTTAATGGTAAAGTATTTGCGTTACATTCTATAAAATATATTTATAAACTAGTTCTAGATTACTCGAATATACATGTTTGGCGGTAAACAATTATTCTTTGCGCTAAACTGGTCGTGAACTACCTGAATTTTAAGTAGAACATAATCAATAATCTCTTGTCGAAGGCCCGAATTATTTCAGAGCGCTTCAAGAAGATTTAGTCCGGTTTATTCATTGAATTCAATTCAAAGATTCACTTTCAGGCTTCAAGTAGAAAGACTCACAAACTATCGCTCAAAGTGAGGATTGATTTGTCTGCGTTCCGTATACGACTGATTGAATTTTTGGGCACTCTCTTGCCAAAGTTAATCGAATTTCACTTATACTTAGGTTAAAGCACCCTTTGAATAAAGTATGCTTTTATTGATGTTATATACTTTTACCACGTGTTTTGAAGATAAGTTTATATATCTATTCTGGCTTAGTATAAAATCTCGTATAAATAATAACCTCCCGCGTCGATGCGAATGCTATACATTTTCAGCAGCCTAATAAACGAAAACAAAACTTAATCATAACTCGTATTTAAACATCTAACTCAAAATAACCACACGGTTAAGAAATTATTACGCAAGACGCATAGAAGTTTAGGTTATACAGACATCTTTAGAATACTGTTGAACTGTTGTGTCACGTTATTCGTGTTTAAATTTTTCGGATAATTGGTTTAAAAAAATCGACCAGAAGTTGGATTTATTAAGTGGACTTAAGGGATTTTACTCATATTGAATCTACGAGCCAGGCAGCTGTGTTTATATGTACATATTCCGTTTACATGAGCTTTCACTGTCTTTACAGATCTTCAAGTAGATCAGTCATCCTTTCAGTATGACACAAAAATATCATAAGTCCCAATAAGCCTGGACTTTTTTCTTTGCTTGTTGTAAATGTACTTAGGACGCAACCACATTAAAAGCTGGTACATCAAAGGCTTTGAAAAGATTCCAGAAAGGATATATTTCGTAGGACAATAAATTAAAGCCATTAATATTGAGGAAGTCTTGAAAATTCTTAAGGTAGTTAATTAAATTAACTGAAATGGTAATAAAATGAGCTTTTTACGATTTGTGCATGCATATTTGAGATATATATATGTAAAGGTTAAAACGCTAGGGCGAGGGTTTGCATTGAAATCCAAGACCGAGGGCTGCAAATTAAAAAATGATTGTATATGTATATATAATGTATGGATAGTGGGGCTAATCATATACAACTCTCGAGTCCAACACATGTATATGACACCAACAAAGGCATCAGGCGTTAGTGTTTTGGTTCTTCGAAGTGTTAAAACTTAATTAGTATTAAAATTAATATTAAAATATCGAGGTTTTCTTCAAGCTTTGTAAACTACAATAACTAGTAATTATTCTAATTTTCTTCTGTTGACGGGGGATAAGTGAATTACGAGTCTCGTCATAAACTTTATGATATGCAGAATCTGTCTTCGGATATATCTCAATGAGGATGGATCAGGTTTCGTTATTGAGGATATGATATAACTTGAGAAGCATTTCTTTTGCACCTAAACACTGAAGTATTTATRAACCAGTCTTCAAAAGGCTCTCATAAATTCTCGCTACTTGTGGCGGCGCCAACTATGAACTTATATTATTAGCAGACATTTTTTAGTTACTCAACTCATCTTCGTGTATCAAAGTACACTTATACTTTCATCAAAGTATAAACAACACACACTATAATTATGATGAGGTCAAATCGCGGGCGTGGGAACTAGTCTGACCGTAGACGTAGAAATCTTTTTAGTGTCTTGCGTCAGTAGTAAACTATATCTTCATGATTATACCACGTTAACGCGTTAAGATAGCGCTGTAGTAAAATTTAAAAAAAAACCAACATCCTAGGCTCTCTAGCTTAGATTTGGGTCTTACTGTGTGGACGTAGAACCCTATGCTGTACGCTAGGGGCACAAGTCTTAGGCCGAGTGCTTTCCTTCCCTCTATAAACAAAGATTACTGTATTGTATTGCAATGGCGTAGCGAAGCCTTCTCCCCGAACCTCTAAAGATAAAACTCGTATGCGTGTGGGTTGACGGGAAAATGGTACCTTGCCCCACCTCGCTACGCCATCGTTGTATTGTACTGGTTAGCCCTACCAGAGTAAACATCTTGCTTCATTTAAAGCAGTCTTTCATTAATAATTCACCATTTTCTATTTCCAGGAAGATGAACGAGTCAACACCATCCTAAACGAGAAGCTTGCCAAGCTAAGAGAGAGAAACATGAATGACCCAGCCTTGGCCCTTGGCCGAGACAATGCATTCGAGGAGGGGACTTGGAGCGCGTGTTTTGATGAATGGCGCGAATCGAGCTCGCCTGTTGAACGAGTGATCGCTTCAAATTCTCTCCACCTTGGGGCTAGAGCAGCTATGAGATGTGTTGACCTCGCAAAACTACAACTTCACCGATATAAGGAAACATACTGCACACTACAAAAAGCTGCATTGGGGTATAGAAAGGTGAGTCTTTTTCTTTATGGTCTCTTGATGGGAGGAGATGAGGGAGGCATGACTCCACTGTTGTCAACAAATCATTCCTCCCCCCTCTGCCTTGAGGGCAAAGCTAATTTGTCAGCAAATGGGAATTAGAATCATTCGTGGATATGCCCCTGTGTTGGAAATTTGATTTTGACTTCATTATCAAAAAATATATAATTTTTTTTTTTTTCTGGCCGTTTAATTACGAACAAGAGAATGAATATTAAACAAAAAACACGGCTGCCATGTGAGTTAAGTTCAACCAATATGGTGGCAATGAAAACCAGCAATTGCACCGGCAATCTTTCATTCATTCATATTGCGTGCTTCATGTGATACTGGTTGGCGAGGGAATGAACGCAGAAATCATGAACAAGGCTATGTCGTACCGTATTTACTCGTTTAGACGCCGCGGGGTTTATTTAATTTCTCGTGGGCCAGCTGCGGCGTTTATTTGGGGACGGCGTCGGCGTTTATTCAAAAATTGCTTCATTCAATAAGAATTCTTGAAAGAGAACTTAAGGCAAGAGCAAAATAGTACAGTCACTTTGAACTTTAAAATGTTGTTTTAAAAGAAAATAAATTTCCGTTGCTGGTTTAAACTTGAAATATACTTTTTCTATATCATTTATCATAAATTATTATCTCCTCATATAAACGCCACACCGCAGATGCGGCGTCTATTCGGGGGGGGGGGCGTCTATTAATATTTTTAGTCTATTTGGTAATACGGTATGTGTCGCATGTGAATCATGGTGCCTTTTAGTCTTAAAGACGTGAGTCATGCGTGATGCGCATGGAACATACAGCGTGTTGCGCATGTCGATATAATTCACCGAGCCAACCGCTGACCACGAAGCAATCTGTCACCCTATAACAATAAGCCTTTTCATAGTTTAAGAATCGACTCCACTACGCATGCGATTTTATCCCGAATTTCTCACCTTTTGTTTTATTAAGAACAAAAGAAGGTTTAGGCAAAAGAAGGTGAGAAATTCGGGATAAAATCGCATGCGCAGTGGAATCGATTCTTAAACTATGAAAAGGCTTATTTGAATAATTGCAAAACCAATCACTTACATCAAACAGACCTAACTTACCTTACTAACCTACATACCTACCCAACTTCTTACCTCTTGCTAACCAACCAACCAACGTATCTGAATAACCTACATTTACTATTTTCTCTAGATAAAACAAAAACTTATCAAAGAAAAACATCGCAGAAGCCAAGACATGACTTTCGACAGCCCTGAAACATTATCGACTTTGATTACCGATTTACAAGAAAAAAACAAAATGCTCTACGAAAAACTAACCTGGGAAAGGAATCGAGCAAATAAGCTGGAAAACCAATTAGAAGAACTGACTGCTGTGATGAATAGAGACCGAAGAAAAAGTGGGTACATTGTGAAGGTACTCGCACATGAGGTGGAACAGTTATCACAGCAAGTTAGGATGAGAAATGACCTTACAAAGCAGGACGAACGACTTCCGAACGGTTTTCATAAGTCGTCTGTAGGGGTTAATGAATCGAATGATGATTGCGTTTCGACAGTTGATAGTCAATGTTGACAACGATATTGGTAATACTCTTGTACAAATACTCGAAGCAAGTGTCCGTCATATACCCTGGGACGATGAACGAACCACGTGACGGAGCGAGTGAGAAGCATGCTTCCGTAACCGTGGCGAGAACTTGGAACTGGGATTCTGACTATTCGATAGAGAATAACCTTTCTCTCATGTACTACCCCTCCCCCACTCGGGGCTTAGGGAACAGACCACTTCCTCTCTTTTTGATGTTTGGAGCACAAATTTTCGAATTCTCATAATATTAACTCTGTATCAGATAACGAACCCAAAGTCCTAAAATTAACATGCACGGAACATTCTCTTATAGTATATTCCACGTCTTTACGATACCGGGGACCCGAAGCGATTGAGTTACTGAGGTAGAACCTGAGCTACTCTCTTATATACATCATAAAACCTGAATGAATAGTATAATGAATCGTCAGTCTTCATTTTGATCAGATCTCGCAACTGAGTCAAGCTGGTAAAGGACGGTGATAGCAAGGTGTACGGACACCTTAAGTTTTGTTTCGCGCATAGAAAAATCCTCAGGAAACTAGACGAGTGATAACACAAGAAAGAAAACCTGTATGTAAAGAAGACAGAAATTAGGTTATAAGCTTTTGCTTCTTCATGAAAAAGTGGGTTAAGCCGGCGTATTGCGTGCACATGTCTGACTCTATTGATAAACGCGGTCCACAAACTTCCATAGTAAAGATTGCGTGCAGATGTCTGCCTATAAGTGTTGAATGCCCGGGGGCTTCTGGATGTCTTCTAAATCTTTGCGGTGCACCGCYCATCTCTTATAGTATTTCTTTTAAATATTTCATGGTGTCCTTGAGAATAATGCATCGGAGAATGTTCTTAATTTCTTTGCGGCAAAGTAAAACAGATCTTGTGGACACTAGACAAAAACGTTCGCGCATGCGTGCACTTCAGCACGTTTTCTAAGAATTTTGAAGAGTTTGAGTGAGAAAATAAATGTTTGTTTTCTCCAAGTATACAAAAAAGTTCAAGAGTATACTTTTGTCAAACCAAGATACTGTATTAACAAACACAATATGAAAGAATTTATCAGGCATGTTTGAAAGTCAAATTTACATATATTTTGACTAATTTACATACGGATTCAGAGCATGCGCAGACGTTTTTCACTCGTGTCGACCTCGTGTAGAAGTGTGACCTTCAGACGGATCACTCTGAATTATCCAATCTCAAGTTATGAATACCCACGTGAATACCCACGTGAATACCATTAAAGTGTTTGGATACGGAAGCCATTTGAAAACGACGGTTGGTGCTTTCAGAAGGTGCTCTTTTTGAATGCATTTTATTGGTAGTCCATTCTTACGGTACATAATTGGTCAGTGCGCGCCAATAAATTCAAGCAAACCAAAAGAAAAGATGTGTAAATATATCGGTATCCATATAATTGATGTGTAATTTCGAACTTGTACTATTGATCTTGATTTTTCATCGAGAAACACTACTATTTTTGGAATAAATTTCTTTTAGAATACACGGAATCCTTTGTAAATAAAATTGATGCTTTTATACATGGATTAAAAATCTTTTCAAGATATATGAAAAGGACCAAAAGACATCGTAAAGTCATGCGGTTTTCCATGCACGTACATGCGCACTGGAGCGGCAGCTGTTCAGAGCGGCGTATGGAACGACCCTAATTGCACGCGCACGTGGTTGTCAGTTGTTTTCGGAGCGGTTTCCTTTCCTAGGTGCCATAGGCTGAATGTTCATAGTCTGTATGAGTAGCTTGTTTATTTGGTAAGGTCTCCTCGCGACAAAAAATACTTTCAAAATTACTCCTTTTTCCAATGTCATGATATCAGCTGTTTTGTGAGGAGGACCTGACCTTTGAGCACCACCCACCCCCATCCCCTTCCATGAGCTATACTTTTCCAACCTAAGGTACGACGAACCTCGATTTAGAAACAAACATTTGAAACGCGCGTGCGCGTTTGGCGGGAAAAAATGGCGGGAAATGCCTATCTGTTCTCGGAGGGAAAATTGAAAGAAATCAGTCAAAAGAAAGCAAAAGTCATATGATAAAAGCTATGGCGAGAAACTTAATAAAATTCAAAGTAGCTTTCTGTTTCCTGTGTCAATACTTTTGCACTTTCTTGCCGCGCTGTTGTTTCTAGACGGGATTAAGTTATGTAAGAGTTAGTTACCGAGAACGGAGGTAATAAGCCATATACATCCCGAGGGCCGCAGGCCCGAGGGATGTATATGGCTTATTGCCGACATTCGAGGTAACTAACTATTTTAGTTATCAATTAAGAAGGTTTTCTATAATATTCTGATGTTAGACTTTTAAGATAATGAAAATAAAA